GGCGGATGGACCGGGCTGGGCGGCTGGGCGGCTAGCCGCCAACTTTCCCAAAGGGAGAAGACCGGCACGCTCCTTGTGCGGACTCCGGAGCCAATCTTAGCCATTGCGCACAGCGAAGCGTGATTCATTAGCCGGATTCACATAACTCACTAAGGAATGGGCTACGAGCTCAATCACCCCTAGGCTAACTCCCCCTGAATGTAGCTCAGCGTCTGGTGCCAGCACAACCAACGTGGTTTCAGTTTAACATGTTGCACAAATTCAGTCTCTTCTACTGTTGTTCAACCATTGTTTGGCACAACTTGTAATTGTTAAATGCGATGTGCCACGGCTTTATTATTATATTGTCGCCCAGGACGTGGCTGTGTGAGAAATCAAGTTTTAATTGCTCTGCTGGGACACTTGTAGCACTCCACATGTGGTTGAACTAGAACCAATATTGCTCCAATATGGAGCGAATGCAAATGGTTACAGGTTGTCCAGTCTGTAAGCAAATATCCATTAGACCAGCCTGCAAGACTTGTTGGGCTCTAATCTCCACAACAGACACCTGCATTTTTGGATGGGGTGCGGTCAAAGCATTCAGCCATTCTGTATGCAGGAATGGTGTAGAAATGAACCAGATGCTTCGGTGCATCTCTGTATGAGTCACTGGACTAGCTGGCTAGCTTCCTAACTGGAAGTAATGACTTATGCAGAAATACAGAGGACTGTTGTTGTTTGGTTTGAAAGTGGGACATTCTTAATTTTAAGCTAAAATGAGCTTTTTAGGGGTGTAAGTATAAGGTATCAAATCTAGAGATGAATAAATAAGAGATTTTTCAGGAAGGGGGAATGCCTGAAAGTTTAGTCAGGGTCTCTGGGTCACAGAGCATGGAAACCCTCAGAAGTGGAAAAGAGAAGTAACAGTTACTGGGTTTAAAGGAACAAAGGGCAAAATAAAAAAGTAAACAAAAAGCTGTGTCCAACAAGAATTGCCTGCAACTAAGGATTTTTTCTCATCTAAATCCTTATGGAAAGATTTGTTAGCAATACCACATCTTTTCATCATCTGTCATTATGATACTGAATTATGAAAGTGATACAGAACTGTCTCCCCACTCTTTTGGTCTGAACACAAAAGCAGTCAGGTTTCTAACCCCACTACTGTACTTGAAGCCCAACTTCAGGGTTTGCATAGCCTGTACATTTTTAAAAATAGACATATGAGAAAATCAAAGGTTTTTTTCAATGCATGTTTCCTTACTGTGATTGGGGAAAGAGTGTGAACAACTACAATTTTAGGATTTTTAAAGTGTTATTTTTTAAAAACAATTAGGAAATAGCTATTGTTTATGAACTGTAATTCCACTACTGGATAGTTTAATGATGGAAAAAGGGTTTTAAAAAACTATAAATAAATACTGATTACAACTATTATTGTTACTATTAAGCCAACTGTCTACCTACAATAAGTAGATGTTTCCCACAAATTAAAACAAACTACACTCTCTTTCTTCAGTCTGCCTAAGGCCCAGATTCTATTAGTTAATTAGGAATAAATCCTCATCAAATCAATAGCAAATCTTTGCTCCAACTGTTTACATAAATACCTTATTGTTGCAGGGGGGGGGCAGCCAATTGTGATTTATTAAACTAGCTATATATTTAATTAAAAGTATTTTGCACTTCTTATTCTATTAGGAAATGTGTTGTACATATCAGAGAAAACATCTTGTAAATATCAGAACAGGAGTTCCTTTTTATCAGAGACTATTGATTTTGATTGAACAACTCAAATAAGTCTGATAGAGATATCAGTGTGTCCTTGTGGGTGTTGCAAGGATGTCGTGACCTAACCACTGCATGTGATTGGCAGACATTGATTGATTGCTTGATCATCAATCAAACACCATCAAGTCATTTTTAACTCCTAGAGACCCCATTCATAGATTTTCTCCGTGATGATCTATGCCTAACCTGGTCTTTCAGGTCTTCCAACAGTCCACTCAATTGCCACTGTAACTGAGTCCATCCACCTTGCTGTTGGTTGTTCTCTTCTTCTCTTTCCTTCCATCTTTCCCGGCATTAGAGCCTTTTCCAGAGATCTAGATCTTTGCATAATGTGTCCAAAGTAGGATGCCTCTATTTGCAAACGGTAAACAGTATGCAGAGTTTTAATAGATTAATTGAGAGGAGAGGGTTTGATTCTTCAAGAAAGTCCAGGAAGTCGGAATATATATCATTAGAGTGATTTATGCTATTTGTGTGATAACATCACTATACCATTTATGCACAATGATATCACCATTAAGGTTAATCTGATAAATTAAGGTTTCACTGAACCTGGCAGACCGCAAAATGTTTCCATTGGCATTTGATGTCTGAGTTGAGGATCCCTGCCTCTTCTCTGTTATGGAATAGTAGTGGATCATTCTGTCATTAAGCTCAGAAACATTGTGTTTGTGCTATAGCATTTTAAAAAATACAACAAAAAGATGGAAAGGTCCAAGTCCAAATATGAAGGCTTTCCCACTCTGGTCCCGTCCATCCAACAGACAAGAAAATAATTGTGTTACGCTTTGTACAAGCCTTGGTCTACTTAACCATGAATTATTGAATAAATGACACTTTATAGGATTCACACAATACTTTACAAGCTTCAGGGGCTGGATTCACTTATCCTCCAAAGCCAAAAGTAAAGAAACCACATTATAGCTTAACAAGATCCACAAAACCAGTAGTCACTTATAGAATTCTCCACTCACCAGGCTTAAAGTGCGAATAGATATTTAAGGGAATGGGCTACATGAACTGAAGTATACCAAAATCTGAAACAAATAAAGGGATGATGGCCAAAGATAAATCACAGAAGAGACCTTCAACTGCATACCTTGCTTGGAAGCTTCATAGAAGCATCTATCTGGCTAATCAGGATCAAATCTCTAAGTTAATTACCCCAATAAAGCACTAATATGTTCATTGATTCCATGTCCCGACTTCCTGTACAATCCAGGATTTGTTTGTGTTTGATACGTGATTCTGATGGCTAGTTCACCATCAGCCAGCTTCCTAGAGCATGAGACTGCTGATCCAAAGAATGAGTCTATATTTGTCATGATGAAGAAAAAACTGATAAGACAATTTCTTTCTTATTATCCCTTCTAGCTTATGATACCAGTATCTGTTGCATCATTTTAAGCCATGAAGCATCAAGGTTGACCCCGCTTCCCCCAAAATGGACTTCATATAGTCATCCAAACACAATTGTTAAAGAGAAAGGATATCTTATGCTCTTCATGTTTATTGTTTCCAGTCTTTATGTCCATTAAGATAACCTTATATAAAAGTAACAAAATTAAAATTATTTTTTTAGAAGCATATAACATTTACAAAATGCATAGAATTCCCCAAGAGTGCAAGAGTTACACTTTTGCATTGCTGCTATATTCCACTAAACTAACAGTGACAAATACTCTCAATTTTCAAGTATCAGCTGCTCTTCTTCATAAATGTATTTTCAGCTTTACAAATAGTGCCAAACGTAACTCTCACCAGGCTATTCTTTATTATTGTAACGTTCTGCCTTTCCTCCAAGCCTGAGATAAATGTTCTCTACTTAGGAACTGCCTTTGATTGTTGAATGATATGCCAGGCCCCCCTCTAAAAAATAAGAGATTAAACAAGAATAAAATATACATTTCATTTCACTGATGCGTAGTTAAAATTAAATATAGCCAATAGGACAACTCTCCAATCATATATTTTCCTTTTTTATCATGTTACAATTTGTAACAACTTGTGAGTAGCTTTGGAGACTGTACCAGGGTATCTGCTGGGAGGAAGTTCAAAAAAATCAGGATGGTAGTCACAAACATCTGATCAAAGCCCCTTTTTTATGTACTTCAAATGTGCAACACACATTAAAAGGGGGCAGAGCTCTGACTGTGCAGTCAAGGCCACCATCTTGACCTTTTTGACTCTTGCTACACCCAAAATTTGGGAGGGCCACATGGCAGTCAGGGGCCTTGGCTGCATCCCATCTAAATAACTCAATTCTCCCTTCCTCATTTTTCCTTCTCCCCACAATCCTGCAAGGACGTTAAATGCAGTGATAGAGATGTGAGAGACTATTATAGACGATACAAAGTGGACAGAACCAGATCAGGCAGATGGGGTGGACTAGATGTCTGGAGAACCAAAGTAATATGTTTTAGAAGTAATTTGTTTTTCGAACCAAATTAGGCTTACTTTAAGAGATTATAGGACAGTTTTCCTGAGTGGCTGGGTTCAGAAGGTTGGAAAGCTAAACCACAGACTTTTCGCAATGGTGGTCCAAGGTAGTCCTGGGAATGGTAAAAATGGGGCCTGGGGTTACTGGTTGACCAGCATAGTTTTTATCATACTTCTCATTCCTTTCTCTGTTTCTTTTTCCTAGCAAGAAGTCCATCTGGACTCTCTATTTCACCTTCTGTCTGAATGCCAAGACTAATGAACCTCCATTTGTTCCAAGGATTAAAGGCATTGGGAAAGTTCTGATGTTTGCATTGGCTGAGTAATATCTGAAGGATTGGGGGCTCTAGCAGGCTTCACAGAAAAT